ATTTGAATCTTCGATCTGTTTATCTCCAATATTCGTTCATAAATTTTCATTCGTTTTAGGAATTTAGTTATTCTAGACATCCACATTCATCACAATCTGAATTTTGAGTTCGTTTATTTTCATCAAATAGTAGTAGGAGAAATATATCCAATACTAAAGTATAGTCTCCGTGGGAACGATAATCCGGACTCTTAGGTCCACTATATTACTTGTTACGATATCGTACACTTGCGATATAAAAATACGCAACAATTAGTTATGTTTATGTAAAATTCAACCCGTTAAGAGATAAAATCTCATATCGAATAAAGATGAAAATATAGACAAACTTGTAAATGATTGGGTCACTTCTCTTAATAATGTTGATCTTTTAAAATGGAGCCTCAAATCTTAACACGGTATCAGAGTCAGTCAGGTTAAGCTCCACGGATTTCAAAATTAGTCTGCTCAAACGAGCCATCATCTTACGGGGGCATGTTAAGGGATAAAATTCCACATCGAATAAAGATGAAAACATAGACCAACTTATAAAGAATTGTGTTACTCCTCTTAATAAGGTTGATCTTTTAAAATAGAATCTCAAATCTTAACATGGTATCAACGTCAGATTAAGCTCCACAGATTTCAAGATTTGTCTGCTCAAATGAGTCATCATCTTACAAGAGCATGTTAAAAGATAAAATCTCAATCGAATAAAGATGAAAATATAGACCAACTTATAAAGGCTTGTGTTAAAAGATTATGTTAATTCTTTTAATAAGGTTGACATTTTAAAATGGAACTCAAAATCTTAACACAACCGAGTAAAGAAATTAATTATTTTGAAAACCAAATGGGAATGCTTAAAAATTGTTACTACTTTGTTGTTTAAACTGTGACACGTCTTGTACAATCCAATGTGTATGAAATGCTTTTGTTAGGGTTTAATTGTCAAAATAATATCGAAAGCGTGTAAGTTTAAATTTGTGGGACCCACCATATACCTAGACGTGTGTGTGTGTGTGTTTTTGGTGGCGTGAACTGTGGATGCCGCACTGTAAACACAGTGGGTCAATTGCATATATGGAGGTAATTAATACGCTATTCAAGTCTCGTTTGATTTCATTAAAATTATAATTTATTTTTCTCTCTCTTCTTATGAATCACACATTTTTCAATAAAATAATATTACACGTAAATTCAAAAAAAATTCTTCTTCATTAACCATACATTCTAAAAAAAAAAATTACTCCAAAAATTATAATATCAAATAATGAGAGCCAAACGAAAATTTAGTGGTTTTATATTAGTTTTTTTTCTGATATTTTAAAACACCAGGATATTTGACAAATTTCCATGTAGTAGACTTGGAGTGGGCCCTAAAATAAGTTGGGCTTATCTTGAAATATCCCATGCTATTTTGGACTCTTTCTAAGCACTTGGCCCACTTGCTTGGCCATCTAAGCCGTATTATGATGTAACGGAACACTGACAAAGATAACTTTTTACCTGCAATTCTGCAAATACTTCCTATGATAGTCAATGCTTTCCCATTCCCATTCCCATTCCCATTCCATTTAGCCACTGTTTAGTTTGAATAAAAATTAAATTTTTAGTAAATTTTGATAAAAGTTAATAAAAATTGTGGATCTCCATGATGAAGTTTATGAAAAGTCAAAACGAC